ATTGATATTTTTGAGTAAACCTTGTTATTTTTGTCTTTTTGTTTAGTTATTTTAAAGTATTTTTGTTTTATTTTAGGCTTTTCTTTAGTTTTCTTGTTTAAAACATTCCTTAACCACTCTTATATGTTAAGTCAAGTAATAACTTAACTGGCGACGACACATTTTATTATTATTATATTTAATATTTAATTAAGCCAAGCAAGCATATTACAATATATACAGTATAATTACTTTAAGAACTAATTTAAAACAAGAAACTTTTAGAAAAATATAATAACTAAGAAATAAACTAAGTTTATAATTCTAAAGAAGAATTCCAAGAAATCTAATATAATAATCTTAATAAAAATATCACAAGAATGAAGTAGGCAAGCACAGAAAATATTCAAAGCTATCACAAGTATATACAGTAAATAAGAACAAGCATAATTTCAAAAAAGTAAAAACTGTTTTAAATACTGTATAGTTAAATATAGAGACTACTAAAACCAATATTTGTGATTATTTAGTATTTTTTTTTACTTTTTCAATTAGTACTTTCTTTTTTTTGTATCTTTTTATTATAGTTTTCTATATCACTATATTTTTTATATAGTTTTTTTTTACTTCTTTACAATATTATTAGATTAGTAATATTCTATTATAAAATAGTAGTAAGTTTTTTAATAATTATCTTAATATACAGTAGCAGATTACTGTATTTGTAAGTACTTATAGTAGATAACTAAGAAATATACTGTAAATTTATCAAAAAGTAACTATAGAATATTGGATTTAGATATGTTTAACTCAATAATTTGTACTGTATTTACTAACAAATTAATCTAAAATAAAGAATTATTAGCAAGGCTGCCTAAGTAAAAAAAAATTTATATGTTATTTCTCAATGTATGTTAATTATTAATTGGTGAATATTATTTTTCAATTGAAAATAACATATAGTACATTTTAGAAAACATGCTTATATAGCTGAAACTCATATGAAAAGCATGGTGGAAATGGCAAATTTTCATGGTGGAAATAGGCATTCACTAAAATTTAATTTTTAAATATAGGGTTGAGTCAATAGAAATCAAGCAAATTTTTTCTAAGTAAATTTTTTTAAAACTTTAAACAACAATAACTCAACAAAAACTTAATCAAATTGAATAAAAATTTTTTTAAATAAATTCTACAAATTTATAGAATTTGGTTTAAAAATTTTATTAAATTTGATCAAGTTGTGGTTAAGTTATTAGTGTATAAAGTTTTAAAAAAATTTAGTAAAAATAATTTGCTTGATTTCTATTGATTCACCCCCATATATAGCTTAATATAAGTTTATAATTGTGTCCATTTATATAAATTTTTCATATTTTATTTTTTCTACTTTGATTTTGTTTTTTATATATATTCTTTATATCTCTATATTTTGTTTTTCAATATAAGTTTTTTTTGCTCTTTTTTACAAGAAAAGACTATCAGATTGATGATATTTTATCATAGAATAATGATAAGACAAATTTTTTAACCTGGGTTTTACTATAGTTGGTGTAACAGATTACTGTACTTGAAAGTGTTTTTAATGTTGTTTTGTACGAGCTGCAAAATATCTAATAAAAAAAATAGCGCGATTACTAAAGTAAAAAAAAAATTTTATTATATATACTATTTTTTAAATTTAACCCCCAAAATTCAAAATAATTTGCAAGTTGGAAAGGGTCTTGAGCTTAAAGTTTATAGTTTTTATTATAATTTTTATTATAATTTATCACATAGCGTGACATCTTCCTTGACTGTTAAAGGCAAATTAGAGTTAAATAAATCGAAAAAGATAAATTTTAATGCTAAATTGCAAGATTATATTAATATAAATGTGAAATCAGAAAATCATTAAAGACTAATACGTATTCTATCTTTTTTTTTAATTGCATACGTATTTTGATTAATACGAGTATATCGATATGTATAGTTTACTCTATGCATCGTGTTACTGATACACTGAATATAAACTATATAAGAAATTTTCAATTCAGAATCCCTGGTTGCAAGCAAGTATGGAACTTCCAGCGGCTGTTAAAAATATTGAGCTTCCTGCTTCTGTTAAAAATATTGAGCTTCCTGCTTCTGTTAAAAACATAGAGCTACCCGACGCTGTTAAAAATATTGAGCTTCCTAGTGTTGTAAAAAATGTCCCAAATGTTGTTAAGAACGTCCCTACTGTCGTGATGAACAATGTTCCAGATGTCATGAAAAATATTCAAGTTCCTGTAAATCTTAATACTCAAATATTTTCGTGTAAGTGATCCTATGTCATTTTTTAGTTATACTTTTGATTGATTTCTCGATTTTGTTAATTTACAGCGTTCGCTACAAGTGCTTTTACAAGCGTCGCGTCTTTAACGAAATCAATTCAACAAAAAGTAGACGAAACTACGAAAAACATGCAACAACAGCATCAAGAATTTATGAAACAAGTTAAGGAAGAAACACTTGAACCGAAGACGGGAACTGGTATGATATACAATTGTTAAAGTTTCTCAATCTTTATTATTTATAGAACTTTTTATCACTTTATCAGAGGCGGTTCCACCATGGATTGGACTTCCAGATGAAGATGAACTTAAAGACCGAATATTGGCGTTATCTTTGGTATTTCATTTTTTATAATTGATATGATTGCCATATATATTTTCTTATTCTTATTTTTTCATGAACAGGATAAACGTAATTTTACTATTCCTCCACCAGAAAATACAAACTTTCAATTTGACCTAAATATATATTCTCAGACAGCTTTGGCAACTCTTAAGGCTGATTCTCGCTTAAATCGACTGCGATTTGAGCTGGTTCCTAGGATGTAATTCCATTTTTATTTTTTAGTTGCTTTTGCTTGATTATATTTTATTGATTTATATTTATACATTATTAATTTTATTTATTTATCTATTTAATTTTTAAAAGTGTGTCAGAACCAATATTTTGGAGAAATTATTTTTATCGTGTATCTCTTATTAAACAGACAGCATTAGGTTCAATTGATGGAGTGGTTTTAGAAAATGAGGTTTTCTCGAAAAATTCTACTGAAATTTTGGAATCTATGCCTAATGAAAATAAGGTTTGTACGAATATTCTCTGAGTTTCAATAATAATTCAATACTTATAAATATGTTACGAAAATTTATCAGGATAAAGAAAATCATGATCCATCTAATAAAGAAGTGTTGTTTGATGTCACAAAGGGAGAAGGTATTTATTTATTTTCTTTGTTTGGCTATCTTAGAAACATTTATGCATTTGAATATTAATATATATATATATATATGTGCTTTTTAATAGATGCTTGGATTGAAGATTTTAATAGTGCTGCTGCTTTGGTGGGTTCAGATGGTGATGCAGAAGAGCCTGAGAATTGGGAAGAACAATTAAAAGAGCATTTATCTTTGACATGATTTTAAGTATTTGACATTGAAATATTTTAAAACTTATATTAAATTACTAAACCAACTTTGTAAATGATACAATATTGCATTTATATAATTACGTAGATTATACGTATAATAAGTTAATATTTATAAAATAGACAAACGAACCTAATGTTTAATAAAAAAAATTTTTAACTTCTAACAAAATATTATGTCAAAAACATATAAGTATTAAATACTAATAATTCATTTATAAAAAATATTTTTTCAAATTTTAATTATTTCATTTTATTTTATAAAATTAAAATATTTTAATTGGTAAAATTTCACCATGATAAATTTGCTATTTCCACTAAATTCAAATTTTTTGTAAAAATTTACTATCACACTATGACTATATAAAGTTGGATATGATCTAAAATAACCAGCATTATATTCAAGATACTCAAATTACTAATTCTATGGCGATACTAGGATAGCTCTTAATATATAGTATAAGTATAGTATCCGAAATTATCTATTTTAATTCGATGTAAAAATCAACAGTAATTTAATAATACGTTAAGCTTTTAAAAGATTTATCAAGTTAATAGACATCTGGCACATATCTTATTCTAAATCAACTGCCATTTAGCTTCGTCAACCTATCTGAAGCAATATTCATCATATCTAACAATCCTCTATTCAATTCGTCTTCTCGATTCCCATTTTGCAATTTGTCTTCCAATATGGGTATAATCTCTTTTCTAGACCTACCATTAACAAATATCACGAAACGAAATCCAAATTTTTGTTCGTATTGTTGGTTCAGTGATTGAAGTTTCGAGTTTACTATTTCATCTTCATCGGCTAATGGAGGTGTAACAGGTGAATTATTATTACCATTAATGTCATCTTTAAGATAGCCCTGTTCTTTTAATGATAGTGTTGAAAGATTTTGTTTGTTTTCGCCTAAACGCGGGTGTGCATTTATAACCTCAAGTTTTTGGGAGAGTGTTAATTGCTGGGAATTAGTATCTACGGAATGATCGATATCGCGTTTTTCGATGCCACCAAAAATTATTTGAGTAGCAGTTGAAATTAAATGATTGTAAGAAGCAAAAGGACGACAGGAGTATAATATAGTTGCAAGTGATGGTGCAGGTTCGAATAAGAGATTTACAGAAGAAATGAAAGCATCGTAAGGTTGTGAGTTTAAATCTGTTATTGTCGGGAGTGTCGTGGAATTACCGGAACATGACATTCTTGTTCAAATGAAGAATAAAGTAATTTATAAAAAATGTTAAAACTTACAAAATAATCCAAAATCTTTTCTAATAGATTGTTTAAGCTACAATTCTGTTAATAGTTCAAAGTTTATAAAAAAGGGGTCACTTAAGGCAAGGTACATCACAGGACTCCTTCATACTCCTTATAGAACCAAATTTTTTAAAACTTTTTGCCGAAAATATCTCCACAATTACGAAGCTAATTTTTTTATTTGAATTCCACAGATTTGTAGAATTCAAATAATAATAATAATAATAATAATTTATCGAATTTTACTTAGTTACCGAGGTATCATCGCTCAAAGTTTGAGAAAATTTTCTGTGCAGCTTACATTCTGAGAGATCTTACAAGTTTTTTAAAACTTTGAGCGATTATATTCGATAATTACAATTTTTTTTTTTTTTTGAATTCTATGGATTCGTAAAATAAAGTTCATCAAATTTCAAATTTTGAGAATATCTGCGCAACTAAGACGTTTCGAGTTTTTAAAAAATTTTAAATGACTCTATCTCGACAATTACAAAGCAAAATTAGATAAACTTTTTTTTTTTACTTGAATTCTATTGATTCATAGAATTTAAACAAGCTTAAAGTTTGAGAAAAATTTCTGCGCAACTTATATTCTGATAGACGTTTCGAAATTTTAACTGAGCGATTATATCTCAACTACTAGCCAAATTAGGTAAACGGTAAATTTTTTTTATTTGAATTCTATAGATTCGTATAATTAAATAAAAAAAGGATCATCTTGGTATTTGTTGAGAAATCATCGCTTAAAATTTGAGAAAATTTTTGCGCAGCTTATCGTTTCGTATTGTTTTTTTTTTTTAAGGTCAACATTAGGTCGACGTTGAAATCAACGTTAAAGTTAATGCTGGGTTAATTTAAGTCAACTTGAAGTCCAACGTTGAGGTTAGCTTGGGTTCAAAGTTTTAAAAAACTCGATTCTATTAAAATACAAGCTGCGCAGATAATATCTCGACAATTACTCAGTGAAAATAAATAAATGTCACCGCCCAAAATAATTATTAAAAAGTCACGTGTAGATTCGCAGCACTAAGAATTTTTTTGTGAAGATCTTTCTTTTCGGGAGTGGTACAAATTGTAAATTATATTAAACTCATGGTATTTATTTTTCTTTTTAAAATTTTACAAAATTTTATTAAGCCAATTAATTTAGACTATTAAGTAAAAATTATAGAGCAGGTTTTTTTGATTCTAACTATTAAAATTGGTTTAATATTTGTTGATATATGAATATTTAAATTTTAGATATCTTTTTTTTTTTTTTTTTTTTTTTTTTTTAAACCTTCGCAATGTCACGAACCAGTGAATTTTATTACGTATTTTTGATATTACAATCTTGGTTAACGAGAGTACATTTTAGCCACATGTGCAACTTTTGGTTGCCTATTTAAGTAAACACCCGA